AATGATAGGGACCTGTGCGGTTTGATTAGAGATTTCAACGTCAAATTTAGTCAATATTATCGCATTAATTTATAATCCCTATAGACGGTTATGTATGGGACAATTTCGCGCTTCACAAAAAAAGCATTTGAGTTTTGTCTTTCATATTTTCATATATGGGATGCATGATAGACTAAGCTCCACTTGATGCACACTGGTTAACGTTTACCCATTCGGGAAAAGTTTATAAACTAATGGTAAGTATCATTAAGCCAGCAATTTGATATAAATAAATAGGTATATATATATATATATATATATATATATATGTACTTTAAAGCAGAGTGTTCAGGAAAAATTTTACAGAATAATATTTGGTTATTTTTCTAGATGCAGAAAGTGCTTACACAGAACCTTTGATTTGAATGTTTAAACTCTTCTTCGTTCACGTACGTGATGGCAACTAGTTTGGAAGATTGAAACCTGCCTGAACCATTGAAGAGAATAAAATAATACCATATTGATTTACCCCGGCTATCATCTAAAATAAGGTGATCATGGTGGTTGCTCAATGCTCATTCGACACTGCGAAAAGAAATCAGATTGAAAAGTCGAATTACGACGGAGAGAAGAAAGGAAAATATGAGAAAACCTGACCTTATTAGGGTGGAAAGTATTGTTCCACCCAGGGATCGAAATTGGGGCACTGCAGACACAATTAGTTTTACATTTCAGCCTCTATCAAGAAATTAACACCAAATTGTGACTTTCGTCTATTTTTTTACAGAATGTAGTCAATTATAGGTCATATGTGCATCGTCAGTAGAACTCGTTCCCGGGCATATCTAAGGGAAGGTGTAGTATTTGTCTTCACGCACCTCATATCTTACCCCTAGAACCTAATTTATTAGGAGCACTTTTGAGAAAAACAGCTTTCTGTGCCAACCAGTTCATAACTAGAATGAAATAAGCCTTTGAGTATCCTCCCAGGGGAAGTATAAAAACCGTTTGTACCAGGCTCATGGGCACGGTAAGGAGGGTCAAGTGTGAATGAAGGCTGTAACGGACATTTTGAGCCGTTTTTGCAAAGAAATTTAAGAGAAATGGAAATGGCTTGTCTATGTACATATTATATATATATATATATATTCTTGGACATAATATATTAACCCTTCACAGCATCAGCGATGCATTTTAAGGTATAGCATTCCATAACGAATGTCTCAATGACATTGCACTTGCTATTGTTGTTTGACTAAAAAATAAGTAGATTACAAATCTCCAGAACACCACCTTAATTAAACAATACAATGCGCACCACTAAAAAACAAAAAAACTATTTTTTCTCCTATAACTTCTTTTACCGACAGCTTTGGGGATTAGCTTTTACCCAGCAAGTCCTTCTCCATCATTTTCAAGGTACCTGACTAATTGCAGCTGTCCATTTGAATCACTATCAGAGTGTTGACGTGCCAATCAAGTACCTTTATTTTTTAGCGGATTCCCTCTTTTCTGACATTTATCTTGACATTTGGAACTCGCATGTTCGCTTACTAAGTGTCAGCACAGCACTTTGGCGAGTTTGATAAGTAATTCACAAGTAAAATTCAATTTAAACAAGAAAATGGTGAAACTTAATCAGTGAAATGCTTTCCTCTTATGTCTAACCCCAATAGTATCGCCTAAAATTAAGCCTACACATCATGTCGGACTTAAAAATGCTACAAAGTACAAATTATTGATTTTGAACGTTCAACCAAACTTTCTCCTTGTACTTAAACCCATTGAAGGGAAGGCAATTTACTCCTAAATGAAGTAATTGTTAATAATTTATAGGTTAACCCACACACGACGTAGGACCCTGGTTGTTAACTGTAATTCACAACATTTGGTTATGAACCCCTTTTGAGAGAGGCAGATTTGACTATTTTGTAAAACCAAGTCACCTAATTTATTTTATTCCCTTCAGGAAAACGCATGTAACTATTGCCAAAACGTCGGAGAAATAAATGAAATAATAAATTCTAATGATCATTTTCGGATATAGTGCCAATCCTATGCGGATAAAATTTTAATTAAAAGCGAATCAGCATTTGGGAAGGTCACGAAATTAAGAGAATGCAGAAATTAAAGGAATTAACTAGGAATGCCTTTTTATGCATTCAGATTTTTGGTTTATTCAGCTACGCATTTTAAGCTCTTCCACACAATGCCCTGTACCGACAATAAACTTTATGAGGTGCATGCCAATAAATTTTGTCTAATCTTAACAGTATACTTAGGGTATTTCAGCAATCAACCTCTTTAAATATATAAAATACAAACTCTAGACATGGCTATATCTGTCGAATTAATCGATATCCATAAGCATCTTGATGAAACAGAGAAATCGCAAGTTAAAATGCAAGGCCTTTGTAAATAGGAGAAATAGGAAAGAATATTATTATTAATATTATGCAAAATTGTGTTTAGAATTTCTATTTGAGCACAATCATTGCTGAGGGGTTGAATTTGTCATGGAATAATCAGATTTAATTGAGAATTCAACTCTTATTGAACCTTGACAAATAACCAATGTTTTCATCCAATAGAAAGTAAATCGAATGTACGATAATATTGATACGAGTTCTAATTTGTTGTAAATATCTATTATTTTGGATAAGGTGCTCGCACTTGGGTCACCTCCACCTCTTGTTTGACACCAAAACGGAAGGCACATTTGCCCTCAGTTGTTATGATCACCGTTTTCGGTGTGGAGCTGCCCTCAACCTTGACGTTGGTGGGTTTCTGGGCTGTGGGAGCTCGAATTTTGTCCAGGTGAGCTTTAACAACGTCACCTAAATCATTTTCAATACTCATTAGGAAGGCATTGTTCTTTCTTCTATCTACGCAAACAGCTCGAATGCGACCACGAAGACGAGTGTTCACACTAAACCGACAGGTCATTTGATGTTCAATCACATTCACCTGAAAAAGAAAATAATCTGGTTTATTTCTTAGTAGAGTTGAACTACATGCAAGCGGGCTGTATTAGTATTAACTAATGAAAGGCAATGATACGAGTCAGATTTCGACCAATTTCTTCTTCCCAACAATTAACATAAGCTATTTCTTTGGTTCATGGACTTTCATGGTGATATTTGTTGATGAAACGTAAATTTACGCTTACTTAAAAAGAATCATTTAAGCATACCTAAAGGGGATGAGTAAGCCTTTTTTTAATGATAATGGCTAAGTAATGCAACAGGAGCACTGCATGTGAGCTCACGTATAGTATTATCTGCTTATGCTAAATGTTCACATTAAGCTGTCTCCGTTGCGCAATCGGTTAGCGCGTTCGGCTGTTAACCGAAAGGTTGGTGGTTCACGCCCACCTGGGGGCGCGAGCTTTGCCTTTTGGGGTGTGTGATAGACTTACCTCCACGTAGTGTACTTTGGGCAACGTATACTCATACGGCTAAAAAGTCTATTAATCGGCAGTTGACTTCTCACTTCAAACTACCATCACCCCACTGTATGCCATATTCCAACACTTTCACAGTACTCACCTTTACTTTTTCACTACCTTTGTGTCTGTCTATCTCTTTTGCATCTGTGAATCGCTTTTCTGTTCCCCACACCTTGAATTTCCGCTACTTTGATGAACCTTCCCTCTGTGAAGCCCGAAGTCAGCTAAATGGCTAATGATAGTTATCAAAACGCCTGCCATTTGAAATAAATAAATGTTGTGACATCACTGTAATAGTATTAATGAATTTGCTAAGCCTCGTATCTTTCACCCCTGTGCAAATTATTTCGTTAGAATGCTCATCCATGTATCATGGATTCACAAGTGGGCTATTTAAAAAGTGACTAATTGAAAGTGAAATCAGTGGATGTTATAAATCTGTAACAATATAAATAAAGAGTACAAACCTGCACATTGGCGGTTGATTGTGGTTGGACTTCAACACGGGTGTCTACCCCCCAGGACATTTCTTCGTCAACACTTTGTCGAGTGGCTTTCGAAAGAGAAATTTCTTGTGAAAAGCCAGCACTTGCTTCCAGGATTTGCTCTGGCAGCTGGAATTGAAAAAATCCTTGATGAAGTATTTGCTGTGGGTTCAATATTTTCGGAAGCGCTAATATGACAAATTAATATATGTCGGAGATGAGGACGTATTTTATCCCAAAAATGATTTACAGGAATATAAGTATTAAAAATCCAATTTTACAGTTGTTAGATTGTGCACATAAAATGTCGTTTAGTGTTTATGTCAATATAATTTAGACAATCATGTGATTTATTATTCCCGTAATGATACAATTGCCAGAGGGCATGTAGATCAAAGTATTCAAAGCAAATTTGTTTTGATTTGGCTACAAATAACTCTTGCGATCAAACTCTTTTGTTTTTAAACATTTCAAGACAGGAACCCCACCCCTGACAAATCGCTAACCAAAATGGTTAGAATGGCAAATATTTGTCAAATTTCCGATTCCCCTTCGGTCACATATTTAAACTTCATATATTGACGATTATTGTAAAAGGATGATCATTCATTTTCGAAAGGAATATTAGTGTATTATCTCCCAAATACTTGTAAAATTCTTTAAACTGCAAAAATTTCAAAAATCGAGGTTTTTAGGGCATCTACTATGTAAAAATCGAAGTTTGTATTTAAATGTTGAAGGAGGATAAATTCTTGCATAATACATCCGTCATTTTTGACAGGAACTGTCAATATTCCTAATTATTACAAACCGCTGCAAGCTGCCTTCTTGATTCAAACAACTCCACTAAGCAATGAAATTCAAACACAGACGAAGTGTTAGGAATGATTGAAAATCGACGAAGTATTTAAGATTATTATTTTAAACTTCTCCACGAACCTACTCATTGAATCCTTTACATCTTTGTAAATTCAACTATTTGAAGAGTGCAAAAATGGATAACGTTGGCATATATTCAAAAATGGGTGTTCCTTTATATACGCGTGTTACAGGAGTTCGCATTGATTGAACTCTGCTGGGCTAAGACTGTGCGAAGAGCTTATGATAACTCTACATTGACCTCCTAAGGAAAAGCAAATTGAAAGGCAACCAACGATCCAAATTGACGAAGGTGTCTTTTTTAATAGGCAGATTAAAATATTGTTTTGATTTTTAATTTAGTGGATACATTTCACATTGTGGGAAGTTAAGAAGAGAACTGATCATATAAGAAGAAATTGAGGGCAACCCTGATCCGAAAATCTTGTGACATTGTTCTGTTGTCCTTCTCTAAAAAGCCACTTCCATTGTCTCTTCGACCTTACTCTAATTTACTTTCTTTCCCTTATTAAAGTGACCCACTTTTAGTATTAGTTCATTCATAATACACTCTGGAAAAGGTAAAATAAAATGAAGAGGTTGAAAACAACTGAAGGCAAAACGAAGACGTAAGAATTATTTCTTTAAGTTGAAATACTTTTTCTGTCAATAGTTCACGAGTGATTAATAGTGATCAGTGTCTAATTACTTTAATCATTTAATAAATTTTATTTTGAAAATTTTATTTTCATTCTAATGTGGAAATTACTATAACTGTCGCCGTGGAATTACGAAGACATTTTCAATTTTGAAGTGAAATAATTTTTCCCTGCAATATAGTTTTTTTATTGACATTGCATGAAGTAATTACTTTCCAAATTTATAAAATTGAGGAAAAGGAATTGGCGTGAAATGCATTTAATGAAAGAGTGGCACTTTCTTTCAAATATTGCATTCATTATATTGATCTCTGGTGGTAATAACTAGTAAATTTATAATTCTAGAATGATTTACTGGGAGTGCTAATGCCAACGGAAATTTTGAAGTTATTTCGGGTAACGCCCAAAATGTCGTTTTATGCAAGAAGTTAAATCTCTCCCCCTGTTTTTAATTCAAATCCTATTTAATGCCTTCCAATCGATTTTTTTGTATAAGATTTCATTGTTGTATTATCAAAATGGTCGGTTAAAGTCGTCCAATCCTAAGTAATATGTGCCAAACATATTTTGAAGCATATAATCAGGAGGATTCTAAGTTAAATTTACAAAATTTGGCCATCTTAGCACAACTATGTTAGAACTTTAACCTTGGGATCTCCCTTTTGGGTTCTCAATAGAGAAAAAAATCATTGAATTAGCAAAAATTAAGGTCGTAATTAAAAAATCGATGAAAATGCATTGAAAATCATCTGTTTCGTTCCGTGTGAGAATTAGTGATATTTATAGTTCCGAATTGAAAACACATACTTAGCACATATACGAAAACTCAAAACGATAAATACAATGAATAAAAATGTGAGATATATTGTTAGCGCATTTGCTCTATAGTTTTAGGGCTACTGTTAATCGATTTTCTTTGCTTCCGGGGTGAGGCGTAATAGTTAATTATAGCAATACGAATATTTTAGCGGGGCTTATGCGGTATATTATTGGTATTTGCGGTGTTATTTGCAAGAATAGAGGAATGTTATTTTACTGAATAGGAGACGTAGAAAACTTTATTTTGATAAGAGTTCATGAAGGGAATCATTTGCTGTCACAAGAATTTCACCTTGGATCAACGCTTTTATAGGTATGACAACTGGCAACAAATCCGTCTCCATTTGAACAAAAAAGAGAGTTTAAGTTAAGTTTATGGAATTTGTGAGAATCATGAAAGCCAAATTATATTCATAATAATGTAACAAGAAAATTTAGAATATTTCTGTTAATATAACCCGACTCTTCTTACATACGCATGGATAGTAATTCCAAATAATGAAAACGCATTTAACATATATATATGGTTATTTACATAGTTGCATTTTTTCAAATTAAGAATTTGAGCAAAGGATTAATGGAGGCTTTCAATTTAGCCTTTCTTAAATGAAAGAAATTTCTTCTTAGTCCATTGAACTCAGATTAGAAAAGCAAAACATTGCATTAAAGTTGGCAGCGGTGAGACAAAAAACACAGAACCCGAATTTTAAAATATGATGAAAAATGATTTTTTTGTAAGAATTCTAAATGTAAATGGCAGGCAAAAATGTCATTATTTAAATGTGACCATTAAAATGCATTTAAGAGAAGGAAAAATATTTCCAGTAAATATTAAAATTATTTTCAAGCATTATTTTAGAAAAATAAAAAACACTAAATTGACTACTACTATTGACGAAGTAAAAAGTTGACTAGAAACGAAGTCAGGTGAAAGTATTTCAGCACTGAATGAATCTTTGTCAGAAGAAAATAAATAGTAAAATGTTGTTTAAATTTTGATTCATCAGGTCATTGGGTCTCTTCAATTATAGCATGTGGTAGTTTTACAAAGTTAATTAGCAGTGCTTCCAAAATTAGCATAAAAGTTATCAGGATTTCACCGACTTATATTACGAGATTCAATTGTAAAGCAGATTTGATCTTTACACCGGAAGAGCTAAAATGTTCACTAAGCATGAAAACCTCTTTTGTGCGCGTTTACATAATATTATGGTATATGCTACTTGCAGCAATCGTTTCAGTTTTACGGTTCAGCTTGCCAAGAATTACCTAAATGGAGACAATTGACATCCATTAAATAAAGGAATATCTGATTGCCAATGAAAGGCAGGTTAAAATTTAATTTAAAGTTACGAATTACACTAACATCAAGCTTTGGAAATTAAATAGGAATACAAACTATGAATTACTGAATTATATTTAATTATCATTTTAGTGAAAAAAATAGCAAGTGATAATAAAGGCCCGTACCTGCAATTTTACCCCAATCTCCTTGTGGGCATTAAATCCTTTGGTTATCTCAATCTCAGCGGTTGATCGCGTTGATCGATCAGTTCGGAAATTATATTCCTGTACCCCATCGGTTCCATTCCTATATGCAGTTGAAAAAAGAGCGTGACATTTCGGAAGTTGAAATGATTTCTTGTCTTCGTAGTTTGGAGGCTCACTCCAACTGACAATATCATCCCAGACAATTTCCACTCCCAAATTTCCAACACCTTTACCAGTGATACAAACTTGTTTTCGAGTCTTGCTATCCGCGGACTCCACGAAGGAATTAATGGCCCATGCTCGAATCACACCAACTAGGTCGAACAGTTCAGATTCGGGTTCTAATGGCATTTTTGGAGGTGGGACTTTCGATGAAATCTCAATGGCAAGATGAGTTCAAGCTACCAAAATGAATGAGCTTGTGAAGCTATCTACGCGCGCAATTTACTACTTTGCGGAGGGTGAACACGGCGACCAATCATAGGGCAGTATGCTGCGCGAACCAATAGGAAGCAAGCAAGTAATTAAAAGGGAAATTACACCCTTGAGAGTATTTAATCATTGGCAGGTCTATGCTAATGTGTTCGAGCTTTAAATGGATGAAGGTATTTAGCCTCTCTAGTTAAATTGTTTTCTACTTCCTTTTATAGTTGGTTGAAATCTAATTCTACTCAAAATGAATTTATAAAGGTTTCTGTTAAGCTCTTTGGGCTTGCTGCAAATAAAAATGAAACCCAGAAATGGCAGAACACTTTATTAAAAGGTTATAACCAATGCTTGTTATGGCTTATAAGATAATATTTAACGAGCCAAATTGCCATTTACTATTATGACACTGTATTCTATTTTTCACAAACATTTTCTAGACAAATATTTATAACGGAGAAACATATTTTACTCGAGTCTCCTTGGTTCCTTAACTGCATAGTTTCGTGATCATACTTAACCAATAGTGAATTTTATACAATTCTTTTTTTACAGCGTATTATAACATTATCAGTAAGGAAATTATCTTAGATTTAGTTTAAACAATTCAAATTACGATTTCATGCGGAATTAAAAAAAAAACCTTTCATAAAGCTAAGATAAATACTTCAGAGATTTTAATGAAACATCTACTGAAAGGTTAGTAAAAAGTATCATGAAACTACTCAAATTACTTTATAATTACTTTAATAAGCAATAATTATCACCATTATGGCATAATGCACATAACAGTGGTGTTTAGTTAAATAATTTCTTTTAATATTTATTCATTATTTATATTAAATGGCAGAGATTGTGATAGTTATCATTAGCCCTTTAGTTGACTTCAGGCTTCACAGAGGGAAGGAAACATCAAAATGAATAAAAGTTGAGAGGGGGGGGGGGGAAGAAGAGTGCTTCAAACATGTAAAAGAGATGGACGCGAAGGTGGAAATAAAGTGCGGTGTGTCAAGATAGTTTGAAGTTAGAAGTCAACTGCCGGTTAATGGACTTTTTGCCATATGAGTATACGTTGTCCAGGATGCACTACGTGGAAGTAAGTCTGTCGAACACCCCTTTTTTAAATATAACAATTGCATATCGTTTATAGCCAACTATTTTGCGATATGAATTTTTGCGTTAAAATTCGTGCTATTGTTGTTACATAAGTAGTTAGTAAAACATCTTTTGCGGTTCAAAGTAATTAAAACCTCTAAATACAAATTAATTTCATTTCGAACAATTTTTTATGTTCTATATTGGCTAAAAATAAATTGATTAAGGAAACTAAATGACAGTATAGCTCAGTGTTGACCCATCGGCTAGTTATAACAATTTTAATAAATTCTATTAGTACAAAACTACACGTATTGAAATTATACCCATCTTAAACATAATAATTATTATTATAACTTAACCATGAAAAGAAATCGAAACCAACAGTTTTGTTGTTTTTTCTCTGTTTTCTCTGTGTTAATAGGGTGATATCCATCTATATCTCCAAGGATTGATCCGATGACCTTTGATAACCATATTTGTATTAAGTCAACATACACTAAAAGGCGGGAACAGCTAAAAGAGGGGTGGAACAGTTTTGATGGGATAAAGTAGGATAGGCATTCGATGTCAGGCCAAGAAGAAAAATTGCATTTCATTAGACTGAACCAATCAAATATTGGGCTCCAAAGGTTGTATCAATCCCTAAGACACAATTATCCTATTCGGTTGAGCTAAACCTAATTTCACTTCCCAATATTTTGGATGTCGTTAATAGCTTCGCACTATACCCGTTCATGCAGATAATTGCGAAATGAAGAACTGCGCAACATCGAGAGTTGATTGATTTTTTGGCCGTTTGGTTACACACCTTTGTCAAGCCAAAGTCTGATCCATCGGCATTAGGCGTGACTGCACCTAATACCTCATTTGTAATGCTCCGTGATGTGTGATGATTCTAATCCTTAAATTAAAATTATAAATAATCGAGATCACTTTAATCACAATTCCTTAACTTTCCGAAAATGCGTCGCAATTAATCTACGAAATTAAGGTGTCACTGGAGTAACAATTTAAATACATATTGACACATCGCACACTTTGTGAAATATATAAACGACACGAGTGATTAATTAACGCATTTATTTTTTAATTATTCTTTATGACCTTCATGCTTTTGGGTTTAGTAAATTACTTAACTGCGTTTGTCCTGCTCTTTGTGATCACCACAACGGCCAATCAACAACAATATTATTGGGGAGATCAGAATAATGGGCAACATTACTATTGCCCATACGGTGATCAATCTTATTACGATTATTATGACCCGTGGGGAAGACCCTGCGATTCGGATTGCCAAAATACCTATCCAAACTGTTATGACAATAATTGTTGGGACAATAACGGTCGCTATATTTACCCTTACCCAGGTGATAGCCAGAGGGGGAAGCCACCTGAACTCGAAGGAGGTCACGAAGACCATGACGCCAATCAACATCGAATTCCCTATTGGACAAATAGCTTTCAGGAGTGCTTGATGGCCTGCAAAAATGAAATAGTTTGCATCGACTACTGTTCATTTCGGTTTGGTTTGAATCCCTCAGCGCGAGGGAATAGTAGCACAGTTCTCACGGAATGGATACATTCGACTCCAGTTTACATTAATGGAACATGGTTTTTCCGGGGTATGAAACCGCTTCCGCCACATTGGCAGAAGTATCCACCTCCTAGATGGTACATCCCTGGCAGCAGTAATCGGCAGGTCGTTGATTCAAACAATAATCGCAACAATTACTATAATAGACAGAGGAATCATTACTATAACGGATACTCGTAGAACCCAATGAAATGTCCAAATCGCATTGACCAACAAATGAAAGAAAAATTTGACTTTATAACATAATATTTGGTTTTATTTATTTACCTCCGTCCCAAAATTCCACCAAATATAATAATTGCCCTTTAAATTAAAATCTTTTGGCTGTTTTACTCAAATTTATTACTTTAAAATTAAATAAGGGTCTATATAGGGCATACAATTGTTACTATTTTATTTAATTTGGATCTGGAAAAGGAACTCACAGAAATTAAAAACATTTCCGAAGTTCTAGGGAGGTGGGGGGGGGAGGGGAGGGGAGGGGAAGAAAGAAACCTTGTCTTTTTCATGTTTTATTTCGTGTCTGGGTTGAACAATTTTCACAAAATGTACAGTTTATGTGCTGAAATTCACATTTTTTGATCCTTCGCATGGTTTCATAGCAAATGTTTGTCAGCGACGTTATAAACACACTGTAAGGTTCTAAGTCACCATCAACTATTAGACCACTTAGATATACTTTGGCACTTCAATGGTTGATGTGACGTTATATGAACATGTGATGCTCAACACTTAACAGTCTAAAAATAGCGGTAATAAATCACTCACATTTATATCGACTTAGTTTCAATAAAAAGAACTCATAAAATATCAAATTACGAGAACATTATTCTCGTATAACATGTTACCATTCAATTATGCTTGACCTTATTGAAACCTTCGGGTCGTATCAATTTGATGCGCCAAAATTTAGTATATAAACGAGTTTAAAAGGGGTTAACTTATTACTCAGGTTTCTAAAACAATTTCCATTACTTTCAAGCAATTGCAACTGCCAATTACCTATCATCCCATTTTGAATTGACGGTCTAAGAGACATTAAAAGAATAGCTAGTGCACTTGGGAAAAGCTGTGCATTTATGTCAGGTCTTTAATTAATTAATACTTTTTTATTGACAAGAATGCTGGTTCATTGTGGTATGACTTAACATTCTGAGACAACAAAAGTGAGTTTTTACAATTCATCTCACTTAAGCTAAAGAGATGACAAAGTATTGGCAAAGGAGGTTTAATGAGGCGAAAAATAAAAAAATCTTATATGAATTTTGCAATACAAATAAGGACAAACATAAAAATTCATGACAGTTGAAAATGCGGTTTAAATAATAATAAGTAATATTGTGAAAAAATAAGGATTAACAAAAATTGATAGGAAAAATAAAAGAATTTTCATTATCTTGAGCATACAAAAAAAGACAAAATCAATGACGTCAAAGTAAAGGAAAAGCTGAAAATGGGAAGATATTAGGCATATAGCAAGAAACACACACCACCGCGTAGTTGTGCTCTTATGTGAAATGATTTATTCTGGGGATCGGCTTTGAAGATATCCTATTTGCAAAGTGAGTGCAAAGCACAATTGGAAGATAAAGACTCCGTTGAATGGCTAAGTGTTGTCAAGTGTCTAATTGGTGGCAGTGTGTAACCATGAGGATCGAAAAGTGGAAAGTGACCTTGGGGTCGGATACTACTTCTAACATCACCTTGATCGGAAGTGGAGGTGAAAATTGTTGGTCTGTTCAGGATGGAAAGCTATAGACCAAGTTGTAGTAAGGGCTTCTGTTGAGGTCTTGTATTATTAAAGTGATCTTTCCTCTCAAGTGGACTAGTTGTCAAGAAAATTTCCATAAATTGCCTTTTACCGAAGGAGCTTCAACTGGGTATTCAAGGTTTCCGTGGAATGGGTGGATAAAAGGCGATGTGGAAGAGATCACCCATTTATTTGCCAAACAATCATCTTTCACATGGGTGACAGAATCGAGTTCCAGCTGGAGGAAAATATGATCACAGAATGAATTAGTACCAAAGTGACTAATCCAATTTTGAGGCACGAAAAGAATATTGGAAATATTTAAGTTGAAGAGAATGCTTCCAAACAATTTTCTTCCATTCATAGTGAAAATAAGGTGATTCTAAGCAAAAGATGTCAAAAGACTATAAGAAATAGAATTCAAATACACTTTTCCTCTTAAATATCCACTCCCTTTAAGGTCTACCTCAGGAAAGGAGGTCCAGTTGTGAGAAGTTTTTGGTTGGCATATTTAATTGTAGCACCAAACTCGGGCAAATTTTTCATAAAGTCAGATTTAGCAGTGTCTTAGCAGCCAGTTGAAACTAAAATTGGGATGTCACGTAATATAGAAGTCACCAACCCAGTATTATATTCACTGATTGGGCTTCCACGTACAAAAGATAAAATGAGATGAGCCCAAATATGAGGGGGTACAAATGATGAAGGTACCATATTACCTGTCTGAATGCACTCATTTCGCAGTCAAGTTCGTTAGCCGTACGATATACTGAAGTCATTGGTATATAAAGAGTCGGTTGTGAAAAGCGAGGCATTGAAATCAAGGAAAATAAAGATGTCTCGAAATTGTCTGTTTGCCATCACTCCTCTCGCTCTCGCACTTCTTGCCTCAGCACACTGTCCACACTGCCATCACCAAGAGCAACACATTATCTAACACCACTCAAACCAAAAATGTGCTGAATTTCAATTTATACTACTGTGGACATGACAGCTGAAATCAACACACATGCTCCTCATTCAGATATCACGCGAATAAGTCCTTAAGATGACTTTCTAAATCACATGATGGTGATATATTACAAGTTGATTCTTCTCTACCTCACTTGCTCCCACTTTCTTCTAACCTACTTTACACTGCATGTCACTGATTGAGACTAGACCGACCACTGGCAGAGATCGATTGAGAGGTAGTGATTCCTCCACGAATCTAATAAGCTTCTATAACTTGGATTTGCACATAGTCATCGATGAATGCGTGCCGATTTAGTGGGTGAAAAAGTGATTTCACGTGCTTAGACAGATGATTTGGCCCCATGAAACCTATTGACCGACACCAAAAAAATAGATATGGATAATTCGAGAAGGATTTTCTTGCAAATATAAAAATCATTGTCATGCTAACTAGTAATAACAATTGCCGTTGAACAATTAGAAATAATCGTCAGTTGGCCACAGCAAAAGCTCACGAGGAGAAGATAACTGGATCCCGGTAAAAAGAAATTATGTTTGACAAAAATTAACAGATCAAAATCTCAACCATCTCACACACAGACTTGAATAGAGATCGTATTCTAATGGAAAATTGAAAAACAGTGAACACGAGTTATTGAAAGTGCAAAATAAAGCACGCAGATTGAAAAAGGCCTGAAACAGTTGAATGCTTACCCAGTGTAACGAAGTCGATTAATACTGTCACAACACTGAAATCGTTGGTATATAAAGAGTTTGTTGGGAAAGTGAGGCAGTGAAACCAAGGAAAGTAAAGATGTCTCGAAATTGCCTGTTTGAACTCACTCTTCTCACTTTCGCATTTGTCGCCTCAGCATATTTCCCACACGACCACCACCACCACGACCACCATCACCACCACCCACACCACCATCACATTCTCCCATATCACTCATACCAACGATGAAGACAAGTATTTCATCTGGTTTGTCCAGTGAAATCCTCATCTTCTCTATTACTCTCTCACCAAATCTCCAATCTACACTGATATCTCCCGTACCTATCCTTTCCAGATATAGTTTAATTGAGTCAACAAAACATGCCTATGTCTTTTAAAAATCCGTCTCTCACCAATTGAACGATAAGTAACTGCTTACAAGTGGGCACATTTCAAGATCAATGTAAAGCTTCAAATGAATACAAGAGATGTCGTTTTATTAAGTGAGAAATAACAAGAAATATATTTGCTACAAGTGATGAACAGGGAGAGTTTGAGATGTAGGAGAGAAATCACTCTTCCATGATATATTAGTTGTCATCCACTTCAACCACCGAATAGTTGCATATCCTAAGTGAAATGATTGGATGCGTAGGTGATGCAAACGCAAAAGTGGAGATATTTTGTTTCTGATGGTGACAATCATTAGATGACTTCTGCATTGTCAAGGCCAACTTCAAGCACTAGAAATGGCTTATTCATGCTTGCAATATTTCATTAATCTCATTGGGATAACCTTCGTGTTCTCACTGCAATTTGAATTTCAAAATTGAAATATATTACGAGTAAATTGTTGAATTTTGTGAAGTAGAAAGAAGTAGAGATTCAA